GATTATTGTTAGTGAGTTCTTATTTCGGATTCATTTGCCGAAATTATATGCCAGTCTTTAGCTATTATATAATTCTTTACTTCCCTCCATCACTCAGTGAAACCAGCCTTGCATGAACCTGAGAGGTGTTGTCCGTTGAATTGAGCAGATAATTTATATGTAAAATTTGGGCTGCATTAGGCCTAAGGATATGAAAAGATGCAAGGGGTTACCAAAAGGATAATCCAATCAATTGACTAGTATGCAAGGCTAGTAAAACATAGGACATTTGAGTCTCAAAAACAATGTGAAAAGTTGCTTGTTCTCAGGATGGTATTCATAAGAAACAAAGCAAGTTGCAACTGCAATATAACAAAAATATGGTACATGAAAAATGCAATTAAGACTTTAGAATATGAAGAACAAATGTTAAAGTGAGATTTAAACAATGATGAGACTTTCTCTATCTTGAGCACCACCACTAAAAAGATGTATAACTCGGAGCTACACTTTACTTGACAGTGTCCAAGAGAAGGACTGTAATCATACCCCAAGAGCACAACAGCACAAGGCAGAAAGAAAGGGCTTTCTGAATTTAAAAAAACAACACATTAGTGGGCTCATTTTTAGGGACTAAAGTTGAGTAAATGAAGATGGTTAAATCTGGTTCAAGACTGGAACCGAAGCCATATTCTGGACAACAATGAAATCTATGGCTTTTTGAAGTCTGTTGCATTCGCATCATGTGAATGATGCATTGCCGTAATCTAGATGGGAAGGTTTGGAATATAAGTAACCCACACTATCTAAAATAAGAAGACTATATATGGCATAAAGTATTTTAAAAATCCACCTCATAGAACCCAACCATGCATCTAATATCAAAAATATACTTTCACAGGCATTAATTGATTAGGCTGGTTCTTCCAATTTGTTATTGTGGTAAATGGAACATAGTTAGGAGAGTCCAAGAAAAGTGACTGGTTAGATTGGAGGCTGTTATCCTCTTTAGGTCCAATTGACCCTACAAAGCAATTGTGCAAATAAAGAGCATCCCATATAAGCCATCTTAAGCAACTGGGGGGAGCGGGGGAAGACAGGATATAAATCTGATGAAAGAACAAAGTAATATCATATACCTACATTTGAAAAGGCATTGTTTTGGTGTGTGGAAAAAAAAACTGCTTATACCAAATAAAAATATCTCTACTACTAAAGGGACAGATATACTTAGAATGTCACCCTGAAATTAATTATCTTATTTTAAATGTTCAATTGCTGGAATTCCAAATGAGAGGATGAGAAGAAAAGAGGGGAAAAGCTATAATTGGAATTCATTGTTGTGATTTGAATCAAACCATCTGTTGTCTAGTACTTTTTCTTTAGCCTTCTCCGACTGTTGCCTTTGGCACTTCCATGACACCCAGTTAAGAGTCTATTTACATCTTGAGTGGTTGCTTGTGTATTGGATTGGTCTGCTGTCCCGTAAGAAAAATTCCAATAAAAATAATTAATATAATCCCTTTAATTAATAGCTTTAGAATGAACAACAGAGGATTAAAATGCTCTAACTAAAACTAGTATCAAAGATTTCATTCACCTTACAATTCTGAAAAAGACACCCAATTGATAGGTCACTAAAAGAATTGAGACTTTTATTATTTTCAAGGGGTAGAAAAATGAAAGGTGAATCTTCTGACTACCAAGAAAAAAGTGTAAAAATTCAACACTTTCCTTTCAAAAGGAGTGTGTCCCTTAGCTTTGATGCTCATAGTTTCCCTTGCTACTAATGTTGTGTTGAAGGTCTGCAACTGTAAGAAAGTGTGCCTTTTTGTTTTTGTTTTTAAAAATAGATGAGAATGGCTTTGTAGCAGATGGTGTTAGTGATCCATAGAGAGAAGCTCAGAATCCTTCTCTTTTTCAGATTAAAATCTGAACAACAACAGCAACAACTATTGGCACAGATGGGCAAATTTATCAACTATGGGTTTTTTCTGTTTCTCTCCCTCTTTTTCAATTATGCATACATATCATCCTAATTCTACTTCTGTCTATTTGAAAATTCTCACCTCTGTAGTCATTTCTTTTACTGTATGTAATTTTATCTGATTTAAGAATTTCTTACATCTAGTTCTACTATTGTGTGTTTTGTACATCAATATGCAAAACTACTCAAAAGTAAGATGTTCTCCTCTAATTTCCTAGTGTAGATTGATCAGATTTTGCTGCTATTACTGTTATATCTTCCTCCTCCTATTTTTCCCATAACAACAGTTGGGCTAAGAGAGAGTGACTGGCTCAAGGTCACCAGTTGGCTTTTATAGCTAAGGTGGGATTTGAACTCACAGTAATCTGCTGTTCTGACCCAGGCTTCATCAAACGTAATGAAACACAAACTTGTTTTAAAAGCAAAACCTAATTTAATGCAATGCTGGGAATTACTTTCATTTCCAGCCAGAACTAATCTTAAACAGTCCCCCAAGATAACCACATGCCTTTCAGTGCTGTGGAATGCTTCCAAAAACAGAAGTATCCAAATTAATTACAACAGAAACCAACCGAAGTACCAGGAAAAAATGACCAGAGTACACAGAGCTTCAAGGAGGACTCAGAATCTATCGAACTACTTTGCCTCCTGCAAAGAGTTCGTCATTGAGGGTCTGACTTTTATCCCTTATGGGAGGGGTAATCACCTCCCAGCCTTACTCCCGAGTTGCCCCTTCTGTTTCAGCTGCTCTCGCCTTCTAGGAGCTCTGCGCACATGCGCACTGGGAACAGGCTCCCCTGGGTCCTCTGCTTCACTGCTACCAGACTTCGAAGTCTCCAGAGGCAGCACCCCACTCCCAGATGGTCCTGGCCCCATCCCTGCATCAGACACAGGACCCTCATCCAAGTCCTCTCCAGAATCCCCAACTGGACACAAACCGGAAAAATCCCACAATATTACAAGTTAGAAACAATCCCCAAAAGTCACATTCTCCAATGGAAGTAATTCAACGTTACTTGATGTCATAAATCTCCACCTCAACCACAGACAGCTTGTTTCCCATGGGAAGAAAGATCACCTAGCCAAAACAACTCTCTTTATCTCCACTCCTCCCCCCTTAGGAATGTGGCAAGCCCGGAATCCTTCCCCCGATGACTGCCACAGAGAAACTAAGAAAAAAGAATATATACTAAGACTAACTAAAATGGCTACACTTATGTCAATTTCGGGCTTGACAACCTTTCTTCCTCACTGTCTGGCTCTGCTGCCGTCTGCACCAGCTACCGGCAAACTACAACACCTGCTTTCTAGCCGAAGTGATTCAGTTCATGTCACAAATGAAGCTGTTCGGTTAAACAACAGAAAAAGGATACATTGATTTAGCACTGGAAAAATAGTTCTTTTTATACTTTGGAAATCAGGGGTAATATCCCCTGGGGGTGCAAGACAATATTCCAAAGGGTGTGAAAACTTGAGTTTAGAAGTTTCAAAATTATAGTGTATATGCATAATTATATGCATATAATTATTTATTTTTGTAAGGGATGCAAAAATATATCAGAAGCAATCTAGGGGTGCAGGGTATAGAAAAGGTTGGGACACCCTGTTGTAAAAAAATACTATTTAAAAAAGGAAGTTGGGGGAAAAAAAGCATACAAAAAAAGGCAATATTATTTTCCTCATTTTATTTAGTCAGAAGTAGTTCTTGTTCCTTTTAAAGAATGAGTAATAATGTAGTTTCCCATAGGAGCTCTATACTATTAGTTTAATTATTATTATTAACATTTAAGACAGGTCACAACATTTATTTAAAATTAATATCCTAAAGAATATTTAGAGGAAAAATATTTTTAAAAACTTTAAATGAAATCCCTATTTTGGGTTCAGTTTCCTTAATTTAATTAATTAAGCATTATAGGAATGAAATGTTCACTAATCTTCATAAGTATTAGATGCATGTGTAATGCATCTCAGCCCATATACTTTGCTAAGAACATACCTTAATTATGCACTCTGGTAGGATTATCTGTGGGTTGTGGGATCAAAATCTATACAGAAATGCTTAGCATTTATGGGCTTTTTAAAAAGTGGTTAATGTGCTTTACATAGATTTAATAAATCCTTACAACAGCAGTGTCCTATTAAATGTCATGTTACTATCCTCATGTCATAAAAAAAACCCAAGAAAGACTCATAATGAATCAGACCAAAGTCCAATATCTTATTTATTATTATTTATGAAGAAAATTTATATTGCTGCCCAACTCACTCTTGGTGACTCTGGGCAGCTTACAAGGATAAAACACAAGTATATAATTGTACAGTAATCAATAATTGTTTCATGCACTAATCAACTTTATGTCTCTGGGAAATCCACAAAAAATAATAATCCATGAGGGCAATTGCTCATCTCCACTGTTGTTCCAGCTTCCTATTGGAAGGAACATTTCTATTTTATAAACAGGGACGAAAACTAATATTGAAACAATCTTGTCTAAAGTTATTTGGTGAATTGAGTATTAGATTAGGACTTTCATGGAGTCTCCCTTGCTTGCAATGCACACTCTTAGTTACCACAGTTTATTGCTCTTTTAGTAATTTTGATTTTTATTGCTAAAGAAAGTGAAATTTTCCAGATGTATCAGTCTGTTTTAAAATAATGAGAGAGTTAGTTAATAGCAACTTTGTTCTGGTGCAGACTTCTAATTCTCAGATGGTATAAACTAAAATAATTCTGATTTTTTTTTCTGTTACAGATTCTGTGGATTGTTGCATTTTAAGAGTTGCTCCAATGGATGTTTTTTGCACTTATTGAATCTTTATTTATGGAAAATTCTTTCCTTTACATTCTGATATAATAATGACTGAGTCATGTTATTGACAATGGACTTGACTGGTCTAAAAAAGAATTTTTTTTGGTTGACAAGTTTATGACTGGAGTCGTCTTAAGAAAAGCATGCTCGGATAGTGGCTGGCACGGATACCATTTCCTTTCAGTAAGACTGTGGAAGACGTGGCCACTTGAAATCTGAAAATGAGTGCACCGTTAGTTCCCAACAAATCATGTTACAATCTATTACAGACCAACAGAAATGAGATGAAAAACAACAATGAACACATGGTGTCTGTAGGAGACACAAATGCCAATCAAATCATATCAGACGTCAGAACCTCTGGAACAGCAATAAGGACAAGCAATATTTCAGGAGAATCTGCTTGCTTACACACCAGTAAGCAAGAAACCAACAGACAGTTAGACTGTCAGAGGAACAATCTTCAGGGCACCACTGGTGAATCAGAGTTTATATTGTCTTCTACCATCAGCAAGAAATTGCATGCCGATTGTAGGCCTGAAGGGCTTAAGGACACTTCAAAGCTAGTCACCATTAGCCGAGGACACAGTTTGTCTAATCTGAGGATCAATACAAGTGATAACTTTTCAGTAGTACTTTCAAAAAGCGACGCTGATCTTATTCAGCATGTTTCCAAGGAAAAAACACTTAGAAGTGTTGAGCCAGAAGGAATAAAACGCCTTTCTTTGGGGAGATCAAGAAAACTTATGGCTAAAACAGAAAAAGAATTTGTTGGCCGTGTATCAGGTAAACGCTTGCTTTCTGTATCCCTGGATTCTATCAACACTTCACATCATTTGAGTGGGGACATAGAAAAATCTCAGAAAACATCAAGAGACCATTTTTTAGGTATGGTGTTTCGTCCAACTGATGGTCTATCAGAAGGAAGCACTATACCTTATCTTAAATATTCGTCTACCTCAGAAATGGAAAGAGCAAGTGCCCCAGCCATACAATCAGGTGTGGATAATATACCAAATGCCAACAAACAAGGCCCTCTGCATCATGCTGCTGTTGACCTACATTTAACTGTTAAATCCAATGAACTTCGGAAACCAGAAGCACATATGGATCATCAAAGTGGTAAGAGAGGAAAAGGGGAGGCGAAATGTCTTCTGTCTTCACAGTCTAAGCATGTGGGTGAGCAAAAGACAAACAAGGTTATGTTATTTGAATTTCTTGGAGGTCCAGCAGAAGAAAATAATGTGGTACAGCATCAAAAGGATATGGAGACAGAAATACACAAGACCAAATTACATCAGTTGCCAAAAGAGGATCTGTTTTTAAATGAAGGATTTGATTCTATTAATGGAAGTCTGATAAGGGAGAATGGCTCTCCAGATTTAAGAAAAGAAAATAATTACAGTAACAGCAAAGCAGCAAGCAAAGCAAATGGGGAATATAGAGCTGTAAAAGAGGTAGACTTTATTTCAGCTCCTGATGATGATACTATACATGTTGATAAATTGACGTCAAGAAGGAATGAAAACCCACATGTTGGTAGCACAAGTTGTATTCCAGCAGTTAATGGGCACATGTCTTTTATGGATAGCGTTAATGTGATAGACAGCAAACATCTGAATAACTATGAAAATAAACAGATTCTACTCAAAGGACCCGGTGAAGATGTTATAATTGTCCAGTCTGATTTGAAAGCTCCCAAACCACAAAATACAGAAAATATCTCAGTAAATTTTAGCCTTGTGGACAGTGATTTAGAAACCACACATTTTTCAGTTCAGAGCAAGAAGACAGTTAACGAAAAGAAACAGCATTCAAACAATGCACCAGAAAGCTGTAAAATAATAGCACAAAGTGAAATCTTATATCCCCCAACACCTTTGCGCCCTTCTGCAGCTGTGAATGCCAGTAGCCACAGCACAGTGTCAAACAGCAGCTTGAAGGAACTTGGTGCGCCTCATGTTGACAAGCTGCCATCTTGTTCTGCAACCCTACCTGCCACTGAGAGCACCCAGTTACTTAGCCTATCCCCTAAAGTGCCTAATAAAACTACATCTAATAGTGGGATCCCTAAGCCAATCCTTATAAATCCCAAAGGGCCCCTACCAGCCAGTTATAATGGTGAGAACGAGGATATGGAGAAGCCTGAAGAGAAGCTTGAAACTCCTGCCATTCCCAAGCCCAAACATGTGAGGCCTAAAATAATAACTTACATTAGAAGGAACCCTCAGGCAATCAGACAGCTCGATCAGTCTGGATTGTCTTGCATGCCCCCTGCTTGTGGACTGGCAAATGAACAGAAAATGTTAAACGATGGAGACCTCAAACCAGGTTTCTACGAAAAATTTAAAACTGACTTTCAGAAGCCTCAGATTTATAGTTCTGGATTTGTAGTATCTGGAATTAAATCTTCAGACCATCAGTTTGGTCCAATGGGTGAAAAGTTTTTCCAGGAGGTAAGTCTTTTTTAACATAAATAAATAAATAAACGAACGAACAAACAAACAAACAAATAAATAAATAAATACCCAGACTATTCAAGTAAATAAATGTGTATCTGTTGAGATCTTTGATAATATTTCAAATATTCAATTTTAATATCTGTAGATTTTTTTTCTTGAAAAAGTACATAGAATCACAATGACATGGAAAACTCAAGATACTGGGTAAGTATGGTGAAATAAATGTTCTTTACTATCTCATGTTTCTTTATGACCCACGGTGGTACAATGACTAGAGTGCAGTACTGCAGGCTACTTCTGCTGCCTGCCAGCTGCCTGCAATTTGGCAGTTGAAATCCCAACAGGCTCAAGGTTGACTCAACCTTCCATCCTTCTGAGGTGGGTAAAATGAGGACCCAGGTTGTTGCGGCCAATGGGCTGACTCTGTAAACCGCTTAGAGAGGGTTGTAAAGCACTGTGAAGCGGTATATAAGTCTAAATGCTATTGCTGTTGCTATGAATCTGTTTCCTTTTAGGAAAATTGTCACAAAATTTGAGGCTGATATATTTGATTTCACAGTACAAAAACAACACAGTACAAAAACAACACTGATGTAAATATGGTTGGAAAATTGTCTTACTCTGAAAAGCAAGTTTTAAAATAGTCCAATTTTTTTTTAAAAAAAGAGAGTGAAATGAATTATTCAGAAACTATTTACAGCAATTTACCAGCAGGCTTGCTCCACTTGACTGGTTCAATCTGTATCTCTTTCTCCAACTGCCAACTGTTTTTGAATTTAAATCAAAGCTCTGACATTAGCTTTTAAAACTAATGATCTCAAGCTGCCATCAAAACCAGTTTGCTAAATAGTAGACAGGGGATGTCTACTATTTTTATGTTGATTTAACTTACCTAACATAGTGCCTGGGACATTGAAAAGTCCCAACAATGTGGAATGTACATGAATAGAAAAAGAGGGTTGTTTCATATTTGATACAAAATACTGCATTGATGAAAGTTTGGTTAACCTCTTTTGGGTCGGCTGTAGTCCAGCTGAAAGAAACTCAAACAATTTGAATGAAATCAAACGCAAAACAGTTTTGGATATTCTGACAGGAAATAGAATTCAGGACAAGCATATTTAACTGCAAACATCTGTATAACTACTAGATGACAGCAGAGGAAAAAAGTGTATTCTCACTGTTTGGGGATGTTCATATTTGCAGCCTAGATCTTGTAGTCCTCGGCTGTATTATCAGATATATTATATCCCAGAAAAAATATTTATATATTCTTCAGTGGCCTCTGTCTGGGAAAGAACAAGGAGAATGGAAATTATATTATTTCCACTCTTCTTTTCTTTATCAACTGTGAATGTTACTGATGTTCTCAGAAGTGCCCAGTAGTCAAGAAAGAAAATATTTTGTCTTAATCTCATCTTAATATTGTAAGAAACATTCCTAACAGTCTTTAAAACTCTTAATTGTTGAATTGTTACTCCAGTATCTGCAAATAAGTAACATTCAACTTAGCAATATTCTCTAATTGTCTATTTGAGTTGATTTGGAATAATCCAAAACACATTTTAGAGTTAATAGTAATTCAGAAGTTGTGGATACTGTTAATATCACTGGAGCAAATTATGATATCAAGATATACTTTAATGGAGTGTACTGCCGTTCCACAATTTTAGACAAGTGGCATTTTTCTTGCAATAATTTAAATGATTTTTGAAAACTTGATTAGCAGTTAGCTATCAAAATGAATGCCTTTATTATTCTGTAATTTTTTTAAGGCAAGGATTTACCTGCAATTTGCAAAACTAGGTTTACCCAAAAGTATAAATTATATGTGAATAAGGGCCAAAATCATACTTCTGTCCCAACATTCTCCTTGCAGCATTAAGTAGAACCTCTGTTCACAAATGCTTCTGACCACGACCAAATCGGATTCCGACCCAAAAAAATCACAAAATTTTTGAATTTGGTCATGAACACATACTCAGGTGGTGATCAAACACAACCCCTGACCCAGAAATTCCTAAAGATGAAACATTAGAAAATAAAGAAATCGCCAAAGTTATGGAATGAAGTATGGTAGTGACCAGAGCTTCTACTGTACTCCCATCAACTTTTCTTGAAATTAACCAAGGACTTAATGAAAATAATTAAGGGCAGAACCTGGCTCAAAATGACCATTTTTGTCCTTAGGAGGTTTGCTGCAGTGAAGGAGGATACAAGTGTAGAAGTTACCTCAGCTGTAAATATCCACTGTATCTGGGGTCATATAGTAAAATATCTTGTTATTCTGTGTGTGGCTGCCTATCATTCACAACAGATAGGTGTAGTTTCACTGGACATCCTGACATGTCAAGTAGATGAAGGACAGCCAGTTTCTTATCTAGCATCCAAACTGATACAAAACAGTGTGTTCCTTCAGTCCATACAAAGAACATGACTTGTGATGTGCTCATGTCATCTACCATCTGAAACACATGGCACAGGTGAGCACCCGCCTTTATCTGTGTTAAGAATAATAGGAAGTGATGAGCACTTTAACAGCCCATCCCCTCATTTTCACTTGCCCCCACAAGTATCTAGGGAGGAAGAGTGAGAAGCCTGGATCAAATGCTTAAGAAGAAGCGCATAGAAGTGTTCTTTGCTGCCAGCTACCCGTACAGTGCCAGCTTCTGATAACAAACTCAAGTATTTATTGCAGTTATAAATCTTTCACCACAGTAACACAAAGTGCAGAACAAACTGAAAGCCCTCTGCATAGAAAACAGGCAAGAGACCTTACTTTCAGCAAATGAGGCCAGAGAGACCAATTCAAGATTAGGAAGATCTAAGAATAGTCCACATCCAATCCCATGTCCCAAGTAACTCAACCACAGACCAGTCACAGATAGGAAATTAACATATTCATTTGCCACAAAGAGCCCATTCTAAAAATCATCTTTTTTATATAGCCCTATTTGATTTATCACTTACAGCTTTTATGTACACTGAGAGCTTATGTACCGAAGACAAATTCCTTGTGTGTCCAATCACACTTGACGAATAAAGAATTCTATTCTATTCTATTCTATTCTATTCTATTCTATTCTATTCTATTCTATTCTATTCTATTCTATTCTATTCTTTGCTTGACTAATTGGCTGTGTCAGACTTCTTCCTTTTAAGTACAAGCCTTGACTTCCTTTGCTCCTAATTGTTAACGGACTTGGGCTCAAGAGTCGAATCAACCGAATCATCAGTACCTGTGACTCCTCAGGTTGCTGTGGCTGAATCTCTGTTTAGTTAGCTCCTGGGATGTGAGTCAAGGCTCAGATTAATCAATTCTTCAGAAGTTCTTCAATTTTTGGATCATCGGCTTCCATAACATTGTCTCTCACTTAAGCCCTCTCCTATTGCTCTATAGGTTTAGCCTTTACAGGAAACATTAGGTGAAACTGCTAGACTACTCTCAGGACAGAAACATGGTCTTCTATTTTTTCTGCTCTTTAGGTCTATATTCCTTCTAGTCAATGAGTTATTGGAGCTTCTGCCAATGTTTCCAAGATTCTAGAGTTGCTCTGAATTATGTCAGGAAGTAGAAGTAAAATAGATGAGTGGTATGTTTAGGAAATGTAACAGGAATTAATAATAATCTGTGGAATATCAATGAGGCTTTCAAAGATAAAGGAGTTTCCTGAATGAGTCAAACATCAATTGTCCAGCTTTTTGATTGCAATTAATGTGATGATATCTAGACTAAGCCATCAATTGAAAGAGCAGGAACTGTAGAGAAAGAACTAGAATAGACCAGAATTTTTTATTGGCCAATATGATTGGACACCCAAGGAATTTGCCTCTGGTTCACAAGCTCTCACTGTACATATAAACAACAAAATGATAGAGCATAGATCATAGATCATAGTTATAGTCATTAATTGTAAGTTATCACAGGTGATAAACCATAGATACCAATAGGCGAAGGTGTTAGGGAAGATGAGAAAGTTGTTCATAATGTTAGTCACTAAAGTATGTATATGTTTCTATGGCCTTTTGGAATTGATCTTTAAATACCTGATGGGTGACTTGAAATTCCTGCAGATCTGAAGCTGACATTACCTCACAAGTTTAAGGAGTGAAGACCATTTAGTCTCCAGGATCCACCATGAAGAATTCTGTCTCCAAATAGCCATTGAATGATACTACATGTAGCTTTTATCATGTTCAATTAGATGCCATCATTTAATTCTTGTCTTGTTAGTAAATATCTGCAGTAGTATTTCATTATCCAAATGTTTTACATGAAATGCTCTTTTTCCTATCTAAAGAATAGAGAGGCCTTATTAATGAAGATGGTTAAAAATGCCAGGCTTAACAGTATAGTCTAATATGTGTCTCAATGGCATGGCATAATCCCATGCTTCTTTATTTAGATGTAAGCTTTCATGTGTGCTTTAGATTTATTCTCAATATTGATCTACTAATGGAAGTTCTTATTCTCCAGAAGACCTATTATTAAAGACACTTCAAGGATAAATTGGGGAAGATTTTGAACTCACATCTCCCTTGTTTTTCAATCAGCCCAAAGAGGAGCTGGCACATTTTTCCCACAGTGGAGGAGATAGTAGGAATGTACATAAATTAGCTCTTCTCATCATTTTCACTTTCATAGCAATGAATCTGCGGGGATTTATTGTCATAGAAACTTCAATGGCTCCTGAATTGACCATAGAATCTCTCTGACATAAACCCAGGGTGCACATGAGACAAATTTTTGTTTTCTTCCTAAGCAAATATATTTAAGTATTTTGATATTCTGTTATGAATGTACTATATTATTTATTCAATTTATAATATATTAGTGTGTCATTTTTTTCATTTCTGCTCAGATACCACAGCAGCAATCATGCTGAGAAATATTAAATGGAATCCTTGTAAAGAGCTGAGTTAATGCATATTATGATTTCTACTATATTTTTCTTGAATTTCCTTTTATGAAGGTGATAATTTAAAAGCCTATAATTGATAAAATTATAAACATGAATTTTTATTTCTGTAGGTTGGAGAAAAGCCTGTGAAAGACAATTTTTGTCCTCCGCCATATGCTCACTATGAGGTGCCTCCAAGTTTTTATCGCTCAACAATGATTCTTAAACCCCAGTTAGGACTTGGTGCTGTTTCCAGGTTGCCATCTGCGAAAAGCAGGATTTTGATTTCCAGTCAAAGATCTTCAGCAAGCTGCATCCATCCTCAAGCACCAATACCCAGTTCAACGCTATTCCATCCTGATACTTCAGGTGATCAATTAATCTATTTAGCTGAGCTAGTAAATCATAAATCATAATGATAGACTGAACTTAATCACAATGTAAAGGAAATTTAGAATATTGTACCCAAAGGGTATTAGATCACTAAGTTGTCTGATTAAGTCTGTCTTAAGTAAACCCAGTCTATGTTTTAATTATAACAGCAAATCACCCATATAGGTCTTTGAGTTTGATTGTAGTTTGGTTTGGTTGTCTGGTTTGATTTAGGCAGGACTGAAACATGATCAGAAGTTTGCCTTCTTAGTATATCAGTCTAACTATACTAGTTAGTGCTGCAGTCTTACACTACAGTTTTGCCTGTCTGATACCATCTAGAAGTGTTGAACCACAATTCTCATCATCTCCCATAATCTCCAACGAGTATATTTTGTGTTTTGGAATGTGGTTTGGGGAAGTCTGCTTAATCAACTGATCTGACAGCCCCACTGAATACAATAGATATCTTAAGAATGTTTACAGAACACGTTGACTATGTTAATCAATCAATTTTCTTGATGTGCACAGTAACATAAAGTATCCAAGCATATTGATTCATAACATAAGCTAACCGTGTGACTTTGTTGTGCATGTTGTGTGAACACAACTATAGGGTTCTTTGTATACTAGGTTAAAATCTGTAGGATTGTTGGTCAAATGTTGCAAAAATGACAAGGGATCTGCTTTCTCCCCCATGCTATCCTCTGCCAACAAGACTTTAACTATGAATACATTTACATCTTACAATGTAAGATGTAAATCCATCTAACAGTCGATTGTTAGTTTGTTCATATGTTTATTTTGGTGCCTTCAAGTCAATGTTGATTCCTGATGACTGCCTGGGCAAGTCTCTGCAGTTTTCTTGGAAAAATTTCAGAAATGGTTTGCCATTGTCTGCTTTCAAGGGCTGAGGTCATCAAGCTGGCTTTATGCCTAAAGTGGGACTAGAACCAGAGGTGTTATTCAGCAGGTTCTGACCAATTCTGGAGAATTGGTAGCGGAAATTTTGAGTAGTTCGGAGAACTGGCAAATACCACCTCTGACTGGAGACTTTACAGTATCATTTCCCTGCCATGCCCACCAAGCCACCCCACAGAACCGGTAGTAAAAAAATTGAATCCCACCACTGACTAGAACTCATGGTTTCCTGGTATCTGGCCTGATGTCTCAACCACTACACCATATTATGTTATATATTAGGAAAATGTTTATTTTTGTATGTGAGCTATTGGATCTACTTGCAGTAGAAAATGCAACTGAACAGTTACAGGTTATATTTCTGGAGAATTCAGATGGTTTTTGTATTGGAGTGAATTTTAAAGCACCTCCATAAAAATGAACAATGCTTGTAATCAGATATGATCTAGTAGGATTTGTCTGTCTGAATATTAAACAAATGCAAGTTAAATGGAGATTGCTTTCACTCATCAATTGCTGGCATTCACTTTGATCCCTACCACAAATCATATGAATTTTAATGCAAATGTAGGGCTCTGCTCATCCATTTTACACCATTTTTTCCCTATCCCTGAGAACATTATCTCTGTTTGCACATGTTTAGAAAAATAAGAGCTGTAATCTGCTAGTGCCTCAGCTTTATTTTTCCCTGGGGTAAAACTACTATGATTCCATCAAATTAAGGATTATGTTGGGGACATGATGACATCATAAGACTCCATAATTCATAATTCCCTGGAAAATGGTCTGTAGGGTTTAAAATGTTTGTGATACCAAAATAAATATGTTTAAATATTAAATACATATTTCAATTCTCCAATAGTAATTTAAGCCCATATTGGGTCATAAAATCACTTTGTGTAAGATAAAAAATACACTCTACTATAAAATAATTATTAAATTGTTATTGCACACAATAAAAAGTATTGTACGTATTATAATCATAAAGCTGTATATGTTGTTAATATTTGTTTCAAAATTGCAAGGGAGAAACAACAACCTCAGTTTTGTTGCTTTTGAGTTCACACAGTGACTTCTGCATTCATTTTTCCATTGTTTTAAAAGAGAAATGTTACTTCCAATTTTTTTTTTGTCTCATATCTATTATCCCATGTGAACATTGGGACAAACATATTTCTTAAAATGTGTTTTATTTTGGCTTTCCTGCTTTTCTGAAAATGTTCTCACTTTGCTTTTCAAACCTTCTAACATAAATGTAAAAGCAGAATATGAAATTGCACATTGATATGCAATGTTTAGTTTACTATGTCTATTTAGAAATAAACCCCCTTGAGTTTAATGGAGCTTACTCTCAAGGTAGTGAATATAGAATTGCAGCTGCAATGCAATGACAGGATTTTCTGACTCCAGGCATATAAGCAACCAATTGGCAATTAGATCCCTGCTGATTTAGACTAATGAAAAATAGGGCTTGATTAACTTATCTTTTTCAGGAGAATAGTGAATGTAAACTTGCTAGAGTAAACTAAAGTGAGGTTGATTAGCTTATGGTTCAGCATTTTGTGGGAAACCCAGCTGTTTTCTAAACTCCCAAGAGTTAGCATGTTGTGTGAGCTAGGTCATCATGTTAAGCCATAGAATAATTTATTCATCTGGGCATAGTATGTTATGTGAACATCACAATTGTGCTTGGTTAGCATGGGGTTAGGGTTAAGTGTTCTGTGAACCAGCCATCTGCCTAGGTAGATCCTCCAGGAAAAAACAACAACAATGGATAATCTTCATGGACTTCTCTCTTTACAATGGATTTTTTTTTGTAACACAAAACTGTAAAGAATGCAAGAGAAACTATCTTAAATATTCATCTTACAAATATCTGGCTTATCCAATTTTATTGTACTATTGTAATCATGATATAGGATTAGGTTTAATGGAAAACCACACGAACAGACTTGTTAAATAAAGCAATCTTATACTTTAAACGTGTAAAAAATTATTCACAGATAATAATACATGATATTTTGTTTCACTGAATTTTATATGCAGCAGAGTTTGGCAATCTACAACCTGCAGGACACCAGTAATATCTGATATTTTTGTCTGCAACCTTCTTGACTCTATGGCAGCATGGCTTGCTACCAATTATTTAATATTTTTCAAAGTGTGGTTTCTTCTGGATATAATCTAGAACCCATGTCTGATATATATATGCTTACTACTAAAGATACAAACAAGAGACCCTTGAATTGGTATGGATAGGGTTTTTTTTATTGTTGTCTAGTTTTTGCTATAATTTCTCCTGCCTCGCTGCTGTATTGTTTTACTGTTATTTTTCTATTCTTTTACTTTGTGAATCTCCCAGAGTCACTGGGAATTGGAGGGTGTACAAATTAAATAAATAACATAAAATAGTTTTGGATTGCAATCTAATGCAAACCTCTTGATATAGGTAAGCAAAGCTTTTAAGTGAACATTTATAGAATTATTTTGCCAGAAATGAACAATATGTTTCAATAATCCACTGCATTATATATTGCATTTCCACCTGAACTTTGTTTTTTCCACTTCCACCATCCATATTTAATAAGAGACCTATGAGTTGAGAAAAAAACTATCCTAAATCTGTAGCTGTATAATATTTTTATTAAGTTCAACTAACAATAACGCAAACAGATGTACAGGTTTGGTAGTTCTCCAGAAGTTTTCGTGAGGGAAAATGTTACTAACAAAACAAAATGTGGAAAGACACAGTGGAAAGAAGAGAGTTTCAAAATTAGACTAAATACTTTTAGATTGTAAGTTGTACAAGGAATTGGTCTTCAAATGGAGTAACTGATTGAAGTCGAATTCCAAATTAAAGTTAATTTTTGGACAAAAGAAATAATTGTCACCTTCAATTATGAAGACTCAAGATCATTGCCCTTCGAAGGGTTTGTCCCTAGTTTTAGTTCATGCTATAAGTTCCCTTAGACTGGTAGTAAGGAGGAACAAAGAAACATTCGTCTTTATTCTGAAGATGGTTCAAGGACCGTCAAGTAAACTTTATAGCTGACTACAGATGTGAATCTTCAATCTTTGTCAAACATTTATAGTGCCTTACATCCTCTATGATACTGATACTGATGCTTTAGTCTAGTACATCAAACTTACAGGTTCACCTGACTCATTCTGTCTGTTTATGATAATCAGAAGAGTCCTAAAAACCCCAACTAATGTATTAAAAAGTGACTTTTTAAATCTCTGCCAATACATTTTTCTTTAGCTTGACATGCTGCTATGCAGTTTCTTATTTCTTTTTATCTGCCATAGTGTTTTTATGTGCTGTTAGGAGCAATGAAAGCAAGTTAACTGTCCTACAGAGAAGACAGATGACGAGCTACAAACCTTAGGCAGAGCTTCAACATTAATTACCTCTCAGGAATTTGAAAGGAAGGCCATTTTGCATGGCATCAAGAAGAGAGTAATAGAGAATTGATGAGTATCTCTGGGTTATGCAAAGAGTCAGCTACTGCAGAGTAGAGATGCATTGTAGGGGGGCGCCATATGTTATTACCCTGACCTTGAGAGACAGCCAAAGCAACAGTGTGCTAGTTAAGTGTGGACTGTGTGGCATGACAATTAAGTGAATATGTAGCTGACTCCAAAGTCAAAGAGTCATCGAAGTAGAGAGGTATTGAATTGTGCCCTGGGCTCTGCACCTTTTCATATGTGTATTAATAACATCGATGAAGTGATGAGAGGAAATGCTTAGGGCATTTGTAGAGGATATCAAATTGGATGAGAGAGTTAGAAGATGAAAATAATCTTTAGGCTTAGTCTTAAAACATTAGGCATATTAGCAGAAAACAACAGGTGAAATTTGATAGAGGCAAGTGCAAAATTCTTCCACTTGGAAACAAAAACCCAACGTACAGAATAGGATAGAGACGCTTGGTTTATACAGTTAGATATAAGGGTGAGTGGTCGATAATCCATGGCAGTGGTTTGTCTCCATACTGCTGAATATCCGTGTAGGCAGGATACAGTGATTGCCATAGGGATGAGGGTCAGTGCCTCGGTAGCAGAGGTGGTATTCA